TCGCATGGCAGTGACTGGTGCTACTGCTGACCGGCGACGGCAGACTTGATATGCCTAGTAGTTAGCATGATGGGGTTTTGAAAGAAGGAAAGCATACCAATTTATATATGTAGTCGGAAAAGTGCTTCCTAAATATATTTAACTTTTGTTTGATCATACTTATATTCATAAAGGCCGCCATGGCGCCTCACATTTTTGTCATGAGCTGCTATCCAATTGATATGTTATATTCTAATGAATCTCGCTGACATAATAACCTCACCCAATCATTTTTGCATTTATATTCTGTACTACATTGTCAAAAGCACGGTGATCAAAAGCGGCCCCCAGTCAGGCGCCCGTTAGCCGCGCCAGCCCGAGCCAGCACCATTCACTCTGATGGTGCCTCAGCGGCGATCGCGGCTCGCCGGAGCCATTTTCGGCGCGGTGCGGCGGGTAATTGTCGGCTGTCGTGACCGACGGACCGCCCCGCCGCTGCGCACCGCCCACCGCCCACCGCCGCCGCCGCCGCCGCCACCGCTGCGTCATCCTGGGACGGAGCGGCCGACATTTTTATGTGAGCTGCAATGGAGCTGGCCGGGTGAGGGCCGGGCTGACTGCGGCCGGGTGGGATGGGAACTGCCGAGGGCAGCTGGTGCCCTGAGACCAGCCATCGAACTTCCCGGAGGTCCAGTCACGACAATTCGTCGAGGCTGCCGAGACGAGCCCGGTTGGAGTGATTGTAGCTATACTAGCCATGGAACTAGCAGTATCTCGCAGTTATCCGCTCCATATCCACCATTTATCCTTCACCGTTCCCCGTTTACTGTTCGCCGTTTAGGTACCGTTCAACGCACACCGTCTGCCGTTCACCGTTTATCGTTTACCGTTCGACATCCACCATTCGCCATTTACCGTTCACCGTTTACTGTCTACCGTTCTCTGTTCCCCGTTTACCGTTCTCCGTTTACCGTTTTCAGGTTAAAGTTCTTTGTGGCCGCCGGTACGGCGTGTTTTTAATTTGGTTGCGTCGAGCCGATCTTGTGACGTCATTTTCGCTCACTCTCACTTCCGTTTCACAATTGTTTACGTTCCCTCGCGTTTTCCTTATTTCCGTTGAACTGATCAGCCCACGAGGGAGAAACGTATGTTATTTATTTTTTCTAATGTGTTTCATGTTTTTGCCATATATTATTGATGCGTGTACCCTGTGAGCTCGTTGGTTCCGCAATTTAAATAGGGCAAATGTGTTATATGACTAGAAATCGATTGGCTGTGGGTCGGGAGAGTGCGCCAGTTTGTGTGACAGCGGCCACATTTTGCCCCACAGGTCAAAACGTACCAGTACCTAAGTACGTGCCAAAGTACCAAAGAACCAGAGCCACTACGGACAGCTATGGCTGATGCTCATCGTTGATTTAGTGTCTTTTGTTTTGTTTGCCAATTCGTTGTCTTTTATATACATGTAGTTTATTTTATCCTTTGTTTTTCACCACTGGCGTATGAAGGCCGGTTCAGTTTTGACGTATCCCAAGTGGGATGTAGAGTAAATGAATTGTATTGATTTTGTTGCCATGAGTAGTGTTTGGCAAAGTCGATTAACCATGTACTTACCCACTGACTCGTATTTGCCCACTGATGCTGCCCTTGACTAACTCGAGCACTGACCAATGATTGACCAGCTGATTCCTGTTGACCCACTCCGTACTTGCCTGTAGTTAGCACATGGTCTTCAATCCTGTCTTGGCTGTGATACCTACCTTACCTACCTGATGATGGATGGTCAGAACAGTCAAGATGAGTCGTCGGACGGAGCCAGGGCTCGGAGGACCACAGAGAAGGGTGCACAGTACCAGCTCAGCGTGAAGCAGAAGCTGTACAAGCGTGCACTGAGTTCCGTCCGTGCATCAGGTCAGAGGTTGTGCACAGCAGTATCACAGAATGAAAGGCACGAGCAAGTCAGAAGTGAGTACGAGAAATGGAAAGGGCTCTGCCAAGATCTGGTGGCGGCTGATGAAGGGTTGCGGCTGCTACTACCTCCAGAAGATGTTGTCTACCATGCGGACAGACACTCCAGGCAACTTGAAGAAAATGATGCAGTCTCAGCAAAAGTGATCAAGTTCCTGAGTACTGTTCAGCAAGTAGAGGCAGCTGATGATGTGGAACCACAAGACAGTGCGTCCAACCTGTTTGCGACCACCAGAACAGCTCTGTCGACCAGGGTAAGTCATCAGTCAGGTGACTCGACTACAAGCTCTGCAAGGCTGAAAGAAATGACAAGACAAGCCGAGTTAGCAACAAGAGCTGCCCTAATGAAGAAGAAACTTGAACTGAACAAGAGAAAACTTGAAATGCAGTATGAAGAAGAAAGGACAAACTGATGACCGAACTCGCTGTGAGTGAGGCAAGAACAAGAGCGATTGACAAGTTTGAAAGAGAGCTCACCAACAGTGCTGAAGGATGTCGACCTGAACCGGATGCAGCTGCAGAAAGGCTACAAGTGATGCACCAAATGGAACTGAATGATGGTGTAAGAAGAGGCCAAGAAGCAGAGCAAGCGGAAGGTCAACAACTACAAGCGACTGTGGTACGACCCAGTCAAGAAACTGAGCAATCCCGAGTGGCTTCAAACCAGAACACAGGTGTGGTTGAAGATCTCGTGAACCTCCTGAGGGAGGAAGTGAGGCAGAATCATCTTCCTTCACTGGAGCCAGATGTTTTCCATGGTGACATTGGCAAGTTTGACCTCTGGCTCAAGGGCTTTGAGACTTACATCGAGCACAGAACCAGCTCACCGATTGAACGCCTTCACTACCTTGGCAAGTATACCACAGGAGAAGCCAAGCATGCAATCATGGGATATCTTCAACTTCGCAGTGAAAATGCCTACCAGCAGGCGAAGACCAAGCTCATGGACAGGTATGGAAATGAGTTTGTGAAGGCATCAACACTCAAGAACAGAATCCGTAGCTGGCCTGCCATAAGAAGCGGAGATGGAAAGGGGCTAAGGGAGTTTGCTGACTTCCTGGAGCAGTGCCAAGCTGCGTCAAGTGCAGCTGGCCACCTGCGAGTGCTGGATGACCAGCACGAGAACAGCATCATGCTGAAGAAGCTGCCAAAGCCTCTTGTTGACCGCTGGAGAAGGTATGTAGACCAGAGGCTCTACGAGCCAGCTGAAGGTGATACGGCAGGGTTTCCTCGATTCTGGGAGTTTGTTAGATTCCTGTCCAAGGAAGCCAGAGTTGCCTGTGGACCTATCCAAGATCCTGTCACACGAGATGAGAGAGGGTGGACGTGGAGACAGGAGGGTGGCCAGAGCTCTCCAAACCGGTGCGACTGCAGCTTCAAGAGACGGCGCCCCTCGCTCTGCTACTCATGGCTGTGTTGTGTGTGCTGAGGATGCTTCTGCTGAAACCGTACCTGTCCCTCATCCAGTTGACAAGTGCAAGGTGTTCCTCAGGATGAAGCTGAAGGAGCGACAAGCAGCTGTCATGAGGCATGGTCTGTGCCGAGGATGCCTGAAGCGGGGTCACATCTGGCGATCCTGTCAGAAGAGCAGAACTGTGAACCTGCGGAAGAAGCACCCCACCGCTCTACTATGATAGACATTCACCGCTCCAACCTCAGTCGGACAGGACAAGCAGCAAGGAACAAGGGACAAGCTGGATGCGAAGCAGGTCAGCCCAGAGTGGAAGCCACATCTCTTCGTGTGGCATCTGAGCTGGGACGTGCGTCCAGGCTGCATCCATTCCATGATCATTCCTGTGTATGTCCACCACAAGTCTAATCCTGACATGAAGTCCTGGTCTATGCAGTCCTGGACCCCCAGTCCGATGCGTGTTTTGTATCAGACTCAACCTGCGCAGCACTGGGTGCCAAAGGTCAGCAAGTTTCGTTGGAGCTGAAGACTGTGAGTGGACCATCTGTGTATCAAGCTCTCTGTCCAGGATCTGGTGATGGAGTCGACACAAGGTGACTGCACTGTCGAACTCCCACAGTGCTTCTCAAGAGAGGCGATACCGGCAGACAGGTCCTGCATCCCGAGACGGAAGACAGCTAGGATGTGCCACATCTTCATTGCTGACGAGTTGCCTCTCCACTACCCAACTGCAGAGATCGGACTGCTCATCGGGGCAAACTGCCCCAAGGCAGTGAAGCCAAGAGATGTTGTCACTGGAGAGATGATGACCCCTGGGCTGTGAGAAGTGCTCTGGGATGGGGCATTGTCGGCCCAGTGTCTGACTCCAGGACAAGCATGACTGCCTGCCAGTACGTGGACGCTGGTAGTGGCGAGCGAAGGCTGTGTCACTTCGCTTTCAGAACTGCTGCCCGAGAGATGACGCCTATGCAAGTGGCTCAGCTGTTCGAGCAAGACTTCAGAGATACCAAGATGGAGAAACCGCAGTCTGTGGAGGACAGATTGTTTCTCAAGAAGATGACGGAAGGAACTCGTCAGAGGGAAGATGGGCATTTCGAGATGCCTCTCCCCCTGAAAGAAGATGTGAGACTGCCCAACAACAAGGCCGTTGCCATGCAGCGCCTGAAAGGACTCAAATCGAAGTTGGTCCGGAACGAAGCCTTCAGACGTGACTACACGACCTTCATGGAGGCTACCGTGGCCAACGGACATGCAGAGAAGGTCCCAGAAGGTCAGCTGCGGCTGGACAATGGAAGGGTCTGGTACCTGCCGCACCACGGGGTGTACCACCCCAAGAAACCCGGTAAAATTCGCGTCGTATTTGACTGCAGCGCGGAATTCGGTGGGCAGGTCCTGAACAACCATCTTCTCCAGGGACCAGACATGACTAACAGTCTAACCGGCATACTCTGTCGGTTTCGAAAGAACCAGGTAGCCGTGACATGCGACATACAAGGCATGTTCAACCAGGTGGGAGTAGACTCAAGAGATCGGGACTTTCTGAGGTTCATGTGGTGGGAGAACGGAGATCTGAAACAGGCACCACAGGAGTACCGAATGACTACCCACCTGTTTGGGAGCAAGGTCATCACCCGCGTGCGCCATGTTCGCGCTCAGGAAGACTGCTGACATGTACGAAGACGCAGAAGGAAAAGAAGCAGCCGAGTTTGTGAGAAAGAATTTTTACATTGATGATGGTCTGACCTCTGTTGACAGTGAAGATGAAGCCATCGACCTGATCGACTCAACTCGGAAAATGTGTACCCGTGGCGGGTTCACCCTCCACAAGCTGCTCTCCAACAGCGTGAAGGTGCTGGAGTCGGTGTCACCCGAGAGCCGCTGCTCAGAGCTGCAGAGTCTCGATGTTGGCACGGTGTGTCTGCCAGTCCAGCGAGCTCTGGGTGTCGAGTGGGACACCGAGACAGATGTTCTGCAGTTCAGTGTACAACCCTGCAAGAAGCCATCGACGAGAAGGGGGATCTTGTCCACAGTAAGCTCAGTGTTCGATCCCCTAGGCTTTGTCTCGCCTTTCATCCTCAGGGGTAAGCAGATCGTGAAGGAGCTCTGCCGCGACGGTATCGGTTGGGACGATCCCGTTCCAGATGATATCCTGACGCGCTGGGGCGACTGGACTTCTCAGCTCGAGGCACTGTCGTCACTGCGCATCCCAAGGTGCTACAGGACGAGCGACTTCGGCCTCGTGAAGCGGACAGAGCTACATCACTTCTCAGACGCCTGTACGCACGGCTATGGGCAGTGCAGCTACCTGCGTCTCATTGATGAGCAGGATCGGGTCTGCTGCAGGCTCGTGATGAGCAAGGCCCGAGTCACTCCCTCAAAACCCGTGACGGTGCCCAGACTCGAGCTCACTGCTGCCCTGACCTCGGTCCAGGTGAGCTGCTTTCTCCGAGAAGAGCTGGACATCGAGGACCTGGCAGAGTACTTCTGACAGACAGCCGAGTGGTCCTCGCTACATCTCGAACGACGCCAGAAGGTTCCATGTCTTTGTAGGAACCGAGTGCAGCAGATCAGGAGCACACCGAAAAGGACCAGTGGCTGCACGTGGAGACAAAGTTGAACCCACTGATCTGGCTCCAGGGCGCGAGTGCTGCAGAGTTGAGAGCATGATCTGTGGTGGAATGGACCTCCGTTTCTCAGAAGCACCGACCCGCTGCCGGGACGAGATCTTGACACGACTCTGGACCAGAAAGATCCTGAGGTGACGCGCGGCTCAGACTGCCGTGACACTTCAGACGACCACGTCAGAGACGGTTCGCTTTGCAAGTTTGACGGAAAGGCTTGAACGCTTTTCAGACTGGCACCGAGCAAGAGAGCAGTCGCACTCTGCCTCAGATACATGGACGCACTCCTGGGGGGCGTCGCACCTGACCGCCCGTTGACTGTGACAGAACTCGAAGAAGCCGAAACTGTGATAGTACGAGCTGTGCAGGAAGAAACGTTACAGAGGAGCTGAGGACGCTGAGTTCGAAGATGACGGCGTCAGAGCAGGGTGAAACAGCTACAAAGGCCATCAAGAAAACAAGCAAACTGCACAGATTGGACCCCTACGTCAATGAAAATGGAGTGATCTGCGTCGGCGGCAGAATCAGGAGAGCGGACCTGCCGCGCGAGTCACTACACCCGATGGTACTCCCGAGCAGGTCACGTTACACGCCTCGTCATTGACCACTGCCACAAGAGAGCTCATCACCCCGGACGAGGAATGACGATCGCCGAAATCCGCTCAGCAGGATTCTGGATCGTTGGCGTCAGAGGCGCCGTGTCCCGTCACATTCTGCACTGTGTGATGTGTAAGAGAATCCGCGGCACCTTTTCAGGGACAGAAGATGTCCGACCTGCCTGAGGAGCGTCTAGTGCCGTCTGAGCCATTCACTTACAGCGGCGCGGACCTCTTCGGTCCGTTCTATGTGAAGGAACGGCGCAGTGAACTGAAGAGGTGGGAGTCATGTTCACCTGCCTCGCTTCAAGAGCGGTACACATCGAGACGTGAACTCTCTCTCCACAGACTCGTTTCTGAACGCTTTCAGAAGGTTGTTGGACGACGAGGCCCTGTAAGGACTCTACGCTGTGACAGAGGAACGAACTTTGTCGGAGGGAAAGCAGCTATGGAAGCCGCTTTGGACGAAATGGACGCGGGAGATATTCAGCGAGAACTGCTGAAGAACAACTGTGACTGGGTCGACTTCCAGATGAATGCTCCCTGTGCTAGCCACATGGGCGGCATCTGGGAACGTATGATCCGCTCCGCTCGAGCAGCGTTGGACGCTGTGTTGAAAACCCACGCCGAGCAGATGGATGACGAAGTGCTGCGGACAGTGATGGTGGAAGTGGAGGCGGTAATCAACAGCCGTCCTATTCCTTTCCCAGAGATGACCCAAGTAGATGTAGTAGAACCTCTGACCCCAAACCAGATACTAACACAAAAGACGAAAAGAGTACTCCCGCCCCCCGGTAGATTCTTACCTGTAGATGTGTACTGCCGCCAGCGATGGCGCAGGGTTCAGTATTTAACTAACCTCTTCTGGAGCAGATGGATGGCAGAGGTACTGCCGACGCTACAAGAACGCCGGCGCTGGACGAGAGAGCAGCGCGGGGTGGAACCTGGCGATGTCGTCCTCTTGGCTGAACCCGACTCGCCGCGTAGCAGCTGGCCCCTGGCGAGGGTTCTGCAGTCGCTCCCCAGCAGAGACGGACTGGTCAGGAAGGTTCGGATCGGGTCCGGCGGGAGAGAGCTGGAGAGACCCGTACACCAGCTGGTGATGCTCGTACGACAGACGGCGGCGAACGGCGAGCACAGCCAGCCGCCCGCTCGCCGAACTGAAAAGTGAGTTTCCCGGCGGCGACGGGGAGGCGCGGCCGCGGGCCGCGGCAACATGGACGACCGGACTTCAGATGGAGGTTCGCGGCGGCAACGGGGAGGTGCAGCCGCGAGCAGTGCGGTTAGCGTCCAGTGAGCGCCGACCGAGCGCCGAGTGGACGTCGTGAGTGCTCGGCGTCGAAGGGATGGTGCGATCACGGGCGGCCTGGGCGGCCCGCATGGCTAAACGGACGGTGGATGACGTTCAACGCTGTGGACGAGGAGGCGCGTTTCGAGCGGCTCTCTGAGCCATCAACCAGGCGCTGGACTACTGGCGTTCACAGCTGTAGATGAGGAGGCGCGGTTCGAGTGAGTGGCGCCCTTCGAGCGCCAGCCGGGCGCTAGACTGACGTTTACCGCTGGCGAGGAAGCAGCGATGGTGCCGAGAGCGCTCTGTGATTGGAAAGTGTATCGTGTGGGTGATGGGTAAATCACTGCAGAGTGAGTGATTTAGAGGAGGCGTGTGGCCGCCGGTACGGCGTGTTTTTAATTTGGTTGCGTCGAGCCGATCTTGTGACGTCATTTTCGCTCACTCTCACTTCCGTTTCACAATTGTTTACGTTCCCTCGCGTTTTCCTTATTTCCGTTGAACTGATCAGCCCACGAGGGAGAAACGTATGTTATTTATTTTTTCTAATGTGTTTCATGTTTTTGCCATATATTATTGATGCGTGTACCCTGTGAGCTCGTTGGTTCCGCAATTTAAATAGGGCAAATGTGTTATATGACTAGAAATCGATTGGCTGTGGGTCGGGAGAGTGCGCCAGTTTGTGTGACAGCGGCCACATTTTGCCCCACAGGTCAAAACGTACCAGTACCTAAGTACGTGCCAAAGTACCAAAGAACCAGAGCCACTACGGACAGCTATGGCTGATGCTCATCGTTGATTTAGTGTCTTTTGTTTTGTTTGCCAATTCGTTGTCTTTTATATACATGTAGTTTATTTTATCCTTTGTTTTTCACCACTGGCGTATGAAGGCCGGTTCATTCTTCGTTTACCGTTTACCGTTCACCGTTCACCGATCACCATTCACCGTTCACCGTTCCCCGTTTACCGTTCCCTGTTTACCGTTTCCCGCTTACCGTTTCAGTCTACCGTTCCCCGTTTACCGTTCTCCGTTTTCCGTTTACCGTTCACCGTTTACCGTTCGTTCGCCGTTCACCACTGGCTGTTCACCGTTCTTCGTTCAGCATAGCACGTTCACCGTTCTTCGTTCAACATAGCACGTTCACCGTTCTTCTTTCAGAACGGCGTATAAAACTGCAACTACCAAGCTTGCGCGATTGCAAATGCTGACTGCAATGTAGTCAATATAAGTTTTGCCTTAGAATAAACATTAAACTGGACAACTAGCAATAGCATGACTATTTTCATTTACCATTATTTCATTTCATAATGTAGATGCCGGCCTTGCATGTATGTGTTACAGGCAATGTGTGGAATCAGGCATTCTATAGAATGCCTAGGCATTCTGTAGAATGCCTGACCGACCAGGCATTCTATAGAATCCCTAGGTATTCTATAGAATGCCTGACCCACCAGGGATTCTATAGAATCCCTAGGTATTCTAAAGAATGCCTGATTTTCAGGCATTCTATAGAATGCCTAGGAAATACACGAATCTTTCCAACATATAAGTGTATGTTGTATAAGATTATGAGCACAGACCGACATGTAACATTATTATTTTCTGCCAGGCTACCTTGCGTTCAGCTATTTATGTTCATTCAGTCAAATGTTCATTCAGTCAAATTTTCCGGTCAGGTATTCAATCTGACCTTATTAGGTCAAATTGTATCAGGATTTCATTCTGAGAGTACAGAGTATTTATCTTAACGCTAGAAAGACGATGGTGGTAATGTCAATATCGGAAACGCCTTTGGTAAAAAAAGTTACACAGAAAAAATTGACAAATCGTCCATTTTTGGAGGTGTTTGCCTTCTAAAGAATTGATTTAAGGTCAAACTGGAGAAAACGGCTACGAGCCAAAAATGGACAAAAATTGGGCTGACCTAAAAAACTTGGGCATCCAAATGCAGTTTCTTAACAGAAATAGAGCAGAATGACTGTCAATGTATTGTAGACGACCGGCCATTCTGTCAAATTCCTCGTACTTCTTGGTAATGACGGCTTCAGCAGCTTCGTCAGTCACAGGCGCTCCTAGCATTATGGCCTCTGATTCTTCTGTGACTGTCGCACCTGGGATGAGCCGGTGTAATTGAAAAACATTACCTTCGCGCTTCTTCTTCGAACATGCCCTCGGTAGGATGATCTCACATTTATTGGGGTTCACATCAAGACCAACCCGAGCCAAGGCAGGGATCACACGCTCCAAATCTTGGCAAACCGTTTCGATGTCACCTCCGATAACCGCATCGTCCAAGTACCATATGTTAAATGGAGACACCACTTCCTTTGACGCTGCTTGCACAGCAAGGGAGAAAACGGCTGGACCGCATGGGTCTCCTTGCTGCAGTCCTGTGGCCGACTCGATTCTGGTGGTGCCAAAGTACAGGGAGCTCGGCTGAGAATAGGCTTGCCACATCAAACGATACAGTGACGGCGCGTGTTGTCTGACGGCGCTAAGGAACTTGTCGCGTCTAACAGTGTTGAACGCATTCCGCATGTCAATCTTGACGAGTACTTCGTTATCAGGCAAGTTAGCTGAGAAATGCCGTACTGCATGCACTGCCGCTTCACAGCCACCAGGGCTGCCGTAGCCGAGCTGAATCGGCCTCAGCTGCTGACCTAGCTCCTGTGTAATTGACCTCAATGTTATCTTGGTAGCAAGTCGCCTGTAGACTGAGCCGACGGCAATCGGTCGCAGGCCGCCATCAGATTTTCTTAGTGCTGTCAGTGACGCGGAATAGAATGCGTCGCGTGCACAGGCTGGAAGGCGGCCTGCGGCGGCAGTGTTCACCAGCGCCGTCAGCGCGGTCACCAGGCGGGCGCCGGCCTCACCTGCAGACTTCCCGGTCAAATCTTTCAGGTGAGCGGGTCGGAGACCATCCAAGCCGGCACTAGATCCCGAGTTAAAGCCGTTTATTGCCGCCATGACATCCGCCTCTGT